TTCTGTATAAACCATAAGACATTTGGACAGAAGAGAGAAAGGTAGAGATAACTGGTCATAATGAACAGCAGCTTACTGCAGAAAAACAAACAACATGCCTCTGGTATCACTGTTAACCAGGGGGGATACCATCTCAATGTCTAAAATGTCTTCATTTGTTAGCCATGCAGCTCCTCACATGTTCATTATAGGTGAAGGTAAAGAATCACTGAAATTATTTCTGATATTACATTTTTTTTAAATTCGATATTTGTTTTTTTAAAATTTTCTTAATTAAGGAACCTTCAAATAAATCTCCTATCTTCCAGAAAAATGAGGCGACTAACATAAATGGGGAGAAAGTGGTGAATGCATCCGAGGAGGATGAGTCTGAGGAGATGGAGTCTGAAGAGGAGATGAGACAACAGCCTGCAGAACAAGCCCTCCCAGCTGATAAAGACACCTCTGAATCCGCCGATCAGGTAGGAAGGACAAAATGACTTTCCAATATTTCAGAAGAACAAGCTTAGCTAATAACATCTTATTACCCCTTCAGTACATGTTGATACTGAGGTTATCTGTTTTTCCTTGTTTTGAGGCGAAAGATGAGCATGAATCTGAAGACTCTGATGCAGAAGAAGGGGAGGAGGAGGGCACAGAGTCTGATTTGGTAGGATGTTCCTCAGAATCATTGATCATCCTAACCTGCCATGATTCAAGTCTCCTCTAGAACGATATTTAATGAGCACAGAGAAAAAGAGTGCATGAAAAATACCTTGTTCTTGGTTTCTGTTTCTGTTATGATCTTAGAGCTTCGAGTCCAGCCTGAAGAAGAAGCTGAAAAAGAAATCAAAAGTAGACAGCGCATGGCTAAGACCGTCCAGGAAGAGGAAAAGAAGGATGACCCCCAAAGGTGATTTATCAACACAGTTTGAATGTTGGTTTAGATAAATCCTTTCATTTGACATTTCTCTACCTTTTTAAATATTATAAGAAAACAGATAATGGGCATATGATTTTTTTTTTTTTTTAACTTTCCTTTAGGCTTGGAGTAGTGAGTTTTATAAGGCTCTGGGGGATTGTGCAGAAGAACAGCTGACTTTATTAATTTAATACAACTGAATTGAACGCATACAGCAGGATAAAGTATCACAATGACGAGAGACGAGAGGCCATGATAGACCAAAACAATATTAAGAAAAAATGAAAGTATAAGCTCGTCATCAGTTTTTTGTTTATTTATTTATATATATATATACAGGTGCTGGTCATAAAATTAGAATATCATGAAAAAGTAGATTGATTTCAGTAATTCCATTTAA